GCAATTGCAGCTGGCTGAAGCTGACCTCTAACAGCTTGGATATGTTTCACACGCTTCATTGCCTTGTCAGTCTTGTTCATCTGGATTGGTAGCGTCGAGGCGGACTAACCCTAAAGTGCTGAGGATAGAACAACCTTCGAAAGGCACTAAACCCAGGTTACTACGGCCATGCTCACGAGCACGGCGGCCAAAAGACAAGGGGCACCTCCGTAGACATCTTCCTACACCAAGACCACTGCATAGAGCAGCTTCGGCAGTACATCATGTGTTCGGGGGACATGACGCCCATACCAACAAAATATTACGACTCTCTCGGTAGGAACTACGTAGATTCGGACGTGCCACACACCTGTCGAAACTTCGAGGCGTTGCAACACTGGATGATCGATAGGTACGAAGGTGCCAGTGCTGTTCAACCAGTCCTATAAACACCCATCTATTCATTCATCACAAGTTGGATCACCTGAATGACATTGACTTACTCCTTGGGGGTTTTGGGCCTGGATTCTGTCCCTAATGAGATCGCCCGGTTGACTGATCATTCGCTGATTAGGGTCACTTTTGCCTCTTTAGATAATCGAGCTTCAAAGGTCGGCAATACGAATGGTTTGACTGTTACGTACAAGAACCATATAGTTTCCGGCGTTGTTTTGATAATGGCCTGTATTGGCTCAAGAAGCTGTGATACAGTTTACTCTTGACGCAAGAGAGTAGAGCATCATAACTTGATATTAACCAATACAATTTGTTGGCTTCATCACGCAGATCATGCTCATTCACTCAAGAAACATCGAAGTCGCTCAGAGTAAAGCTTAATTGTGATTGGAATAGTGTCTATAATCTTCCTCGCGACCTAAGTCATGCAAACACGCAAACGAAGAGTCATATGCTAATTAGGGCCTCTATCAACCTCGGCCATTGATTTGTGTTTCACACGCGGTTGATGTCTTAGTATGAGGTGACGATGTCCTCGCTATTAAGGTCGATGGGTGGTTGCGAGCTGCTAGTCATTACCGTGCCTTCCATAGCCCAATACATTGGTTTTGTACGGAATCAGTGGTCTTAGGACAGGACCTCTTGGCGTGATGAGAACATTACACCAAACTCCTTGCCGTATCCTAGAAACGACACGGGACAAAGCGAATCGCAACATAAATCAAGTTCTGTGAGAAGACTGTCTCGTCCGTGTCCACGTAATTGCCTTCATCTTGCCACTTTACACAGAGTACCTTCTGACCTGTGGCGGTACAGATTATACTTCCGAGATCGGGTGGCTTCATCATTCTATTGTCTTTCCTGGCACAACGATCAAATCTGTGGCATCTTCTCGAGCACAGTGTAGTACAGTGTACTTCTCCAGTCCAAATAGGTAAGGATCTGAGATTCACGCTTTGTTATCTTGGCAAGGCGACATGCACTATTGCGGCGCAATTTACGCTTGCGTTCAACCGGTATCGTTTGCATTTCGACCAGTCAACAGCACCGCTGTGTTGGACCAACCAACACCGTTGCATTCGACAACCAACACCTACACGATAATGCAGCTCTTGCAGCATTATTCCCTCTGGATGACGGCAACGTAGTCCATGCCGCAATATTTCTTCTAAATGAAGAAGGTCACTATGCAAGCCTTGCAATGAATACACGACAGCCTGTCATAAGACGGGCCTTTTCCAGAGGAAGGGGACCATGGCATATCTTCGACTCAAGCTGTTGGTGATCGGCAAGGGTCAGGTGTGACTTTAGGAGCCGGGCCATCGCGGATTGATGACAGGGATCTCCGTATCCCAGGACGTATGCCGTAGAACCCAGCCCACTGCTCTACCGCCCTCGCTTTTTTTCTTTCTCTCCCCCCTTCACTCTGTTTCTCATTCGGGCCCCCGGGCTTCCAGCTGCACTCTAGATTGTGCCTCTGCCAGCAAAAACATGGCCTCCAGCTCGTATCAACCGCTGCCAGACAAGCCTGGAGATGACGCCTTAACACAAGACGGGAATATTGGGGAATGCTCCAAAGAGGTTGCATGTCGCAAGAGACGATTTCAAACGCTTGTTCTAATCAGTCTTGTCAAGGCCGCCTTCATAACCCTCGGCATTGGCTTGTCATTCAAATACAAGGGACCCTTAGCTAAAGAACGACATCATGATAACCATGAGGAATGCGGCGAATCTCCTCAGGAGGCCCGCCAGCTTGGCTGTGCTTTCGACGCTGTATTAATGGGGTGGGTGCCGTGGCGGTGCCACGACGAGGAACTGGCTAATGAGTTCCTCCGACGGGAAGACTGGGCCTTCTACCGCGATACGAATCGTACGAGTAGAGTGCCACTGGACGAGATCTTGGCGGGCGAGTGGGAAATAGTCATTGTTGACGATGCTTTTCACACCATGCATTGTATATACACATGGCGAAAGGCCTGGCGTGTCGGCATGAACGGAGGTGTCTTGGATGGGTATATTGGCGACGATCATCATACCAACCATTGCGAAATGATGCTTCTTTTAGGAGGGCGTGGTGAGCACGCCTATATGAAGTACGCTAGCTGTCCATGGGAACGTCACAACAGTGGGAGATTCGGGTGGTATAGGATGATTCATGGGAAGAAAACATACAGATTGGAAGGTGCGACTTGAGTGACAGATGGGACCACATAAGCCAGAAAGATGGCATTTGTCGATTAGTTCTTAGTTCACTAGAAACGGAATCACACTTAATGGCGTCAAGCATCCAGAAATTCAAAGATTGGGACAGGAAAGCAGATTGATCGAACAGAAATCCAGAGCATTCATAATTGATAGATCCACACTTAGAACAAGTTCACTGGGTAATCATTTTACTTTGACGATTCTTGTGATGGGATTCAAGCAGCTGATAATGTAACACAAAAAGGAGACGCATGTGCATCGCAACGGTCAGTTCGGCCACAATCTCTCAACTTTTTTAGGCCAATCCCCTGACTTAGATAGGACAACATCTATTAACCAACACACCTCTCACGCTTTAATCCTTTGACACAACAAATATCACAGAATGGGTATCCCATTAGTGACCTTGACAATTTTATCCTTCAGCTGCATTCTGCTGTTCTCTGTTTACGAACTCCTACAACTCGGCCTCTTGCCCCTCTCTGGCCATGACAGTCAAGAATCTTTTCCACAGGCTCCTGAGTTTTCTGCATCGGAGCTGTTGAGGCGCATTCCCGAGGCATATCGACCTGATGACAGATTAAAACGCTGTATAAAGATCTTTAGCTCCTCCTATATTATTTCGGCTGCGTCGCAAAAGACGACCCATTGTGGTGAAGGTTTCCAATCGCACCTAGACTGTTTCCATGCGCCTCGCGAGCCAACACCTCATGACTGGCCAGTCGACACGTTTTGTCTCGCTCGGGGAGTTGCTGTTTCACGAGATGAAGCGGAGACACGGCTAAAGCTTGCCTTGCAATGCCCTTTAGATACTTCGCATCCAGGAAATAATGTACAGAGTCCATACGACTATTTCTTCCACACAGGAGTTACACATCAACTCGCCGAATGGAATACTTCGTCGACTCAGCAGGATCGAAGCTGTACGGCAGCGAATGGGCAGCCACAGTGGATTGTGCTTGTTAGGAGAGGACTGACCAGCAATCTCTGGGACAGCTTCATGGAGATTTGGCAAGCCATGCACTCGGTTGACATCTTACGAGTCGCTCTTGATGAAACAGGCAACCCCTACATGACAGAAGAGGACATATCTAGTGCCCGCATCGTCTTTGAAGACGACGAAGACCTTCCATTTACTGAATGGTGGCAATTGGTACTCGGCAATCACGCACCGCCACTCAAGAGCCGTTCTCTCAAGCCGGGCTGCTATTCCCATGTGCTTCTACCACTTCCCGGGTCGTCATCTCCACTGTATACGGCTGTATTCGATCCCGATTTTCACCAGCCTTGTCGACAGCCCTCTCTTGTCAATGCGATGCGACGCCGCATGATTGAATACTATGGCTTGGAGCGAACGATAATATCAGCCCCAGACGCCCCTTCTATTACCATCATCGATCGAAAGCAGACTCGTGCTATTTGGGGCATAGAAGGTCTTGTGCAAACAGTGCGAAGTCGTTTCCCGTCCTCTAATGTCACCTTGGTTGATTTCGCCGAGCTTCCACTCCGGGAACAGGTGCAGCTAGCCATGAACACCGATGTCCTCGTCGGAGTCCACGGCGCGGGACTTACCCACAGCCTATGGCTGGAGCCGACGTCAGCTGTCGTTGAAATCAAACCACCTTTGTTTCCTGGAGGGCTTGGGTATGTCGCACAGCTAAACGGGGGCACCTATTTCGAGGGACGAGGACTTTGGCCAGAGGTCTGGAACAAAACCATCAATAACGTTACCCTTCCTCCGGGATGGCAGCGTCCTGAAACAGACACAACGTGGCAGGCAGAAAAGTACATGTATGTGGATCCCGCCGAGTTTCTTGGACTGGTGGAGGCAGCAGTAAGAAGTATGGGACACAAGGCATGGAAGCCTGCTCTCAAGGCCGTATGCATTTCCAATTATTGCAAATATGTACCTGTTGACCCGTAAGGTCGTATGGAAGATCACCGGCCCTCTTTGCCTTAATACTATAGTAAAGGCAAAGCAGACTCAGAACCTAGGAGTTCACGATATTTGAAAAAATCCCAGGTTAACACGGCACGTAACCAAAAGAATGACATTTCTAATACGAAGTCCCTATGGGCGATACCTTGCAGCGTCATAACAACCCCTGTTTTCAACGATAGCACCATCCACAAGATAGAATTCATACATGCGAGTGAGCGGTAAATCAGCATAGTGGTTCTTCCAATTGGAGCATGTTGACAACATCTGAAGAAAGGAAAGCACTCCTCTTGTGTGCACTGATCCAGTGTCCGCTGTGGTGTGCTGCGCGAAACTTGCGTTAGGAGGATCTACAGGATTTCACTAGGAGGGAATATACTAACTATATCTCTACCACCACAAGCAATCCCTCCCACACTGCTTACACCATGTACACTTCGACAACAGCATTAGGCTCCAGAGTAGGCTCACGCTTAACGTCTCGCTTGACCTCAGGACCAACAGCCCCGAGAACGACATCGCGCTCTACGTGGTCTCCTTCATATTCCCGCTTTGTGTCTGCCCACGTAATAACCGTGGTGCGAGGGGCAGGAGGTTGGTGATCAACACCACGTTTTTCAACATCTCGTTTGGTATCCGCCCAAGTGATGACTGTGGTACGAGGAGCAGGAGGCTCATGGAGATCTCTCTTCTCAACATCACGCTTGGTATCCGCCCACGTGATGACTGTGGTGCGCGGGACGGGTGGCTCATGATTCACGCCTCGCTTATTGATGTTCTCCTCAGCCTCGCCTGCAATCGCACGTTTTGCTTCAAGGACAATAGAAACGGCGTCAATGTCACGGGTCTCAGCAGGCGACTGGTCCGGGTCGCGGCTACCCAGCAAATGAAAAATGGAGGACATAGTGGGAACTGCCAGTGCGGGCGAAACACAAAGCAAGACGAGGGACTTTGAAAATCTCATTGTGATATTGGTAAGGTGGGAGCCTTTGAAACTCCCCAGGGTGCTAGGACGTGAGAAGTGAACTTGAGTTTGGCTGGGAAACGAGCAAGCATGCGTGCATCTGGTAGTTGCGTTCAAGTCGAGGATTTCGACTTAGGTATAAGCATTTGCCGGGTCACAACGAACCACCCGACAGGCGCGAACCCGACAATAACAGACAAATCCTTGACTCGTAGTCGGCATAGGCAATGATATGCCAACCAACTCCACCACGCATCTATCACAAGGTCTGTTCCCGGCAATCCCGGGATTTTCAGACCAATGAATGAGCGAAAGGATGAGGAAGATGCTCCAATTCATGGTCGCATGACTACACGAGAGAATCATAGCGAGTAGAGTTGCGGGTAGAGTTGCGAGTTGCATGGCCAGTTTTGTTAGACACATTTGACCCGAAGTTGAAAATAAGTGGGACTGGTAGTTTGTCCCGTCTGTGAGCACAACCTGTGCATAGTCTACTGTCATGACTTTGCAAGTTCTAAGAGTGAAGATCATGATAGGAATAGGAAGGTATAATAACTGCTTCTGGTGTCGTGTAACGCTGTTGGTTCTACGTGACTCGTTGCCCCAATAGACTCGCAGCGATAGCGATGTGTGTGAGTTCTGCAATGTAAACTGCACAACCGGCCTAATAGAGTCCGGAGCAATCCTCGGCCATTTCTGCATGGAAGAGGCGTGAGTTAATCAATCATTCCATGCAAAAGATCTGAGCGCAAATACATTGTGTTGCCTCGCCCCGGGAGGGATGCGAGAGGGGCTTGGGGGGTCTACTTCCTGAAGATCATCTCGAACTTCATCGATACTTGCCGAGACCGAGACGGTGACTAGTAAGTACACAATGCCGTTCCAGAACTGTGCCACTACCATTAGGGCCATTGAAAACAAGTGAGTTGCCATATTATTCATTGGAATATCTTTCAAGATGGTCAAATGGTAAGTCTACGCGCGCCTACCGATACCCAATAACTTGGCTACTCACGGCTGTGTTCAAGTTCCCAATCCACAAATTACTCAGTAGTTTTGTTCTCTCCTTTATCCTCTAAACTAGTCATACCCTCATTGCCATAAAAGTTGATTCTTCTTCGAAAAGAAAATATCGCCAAGGTACCATGGGTTTCAGCGGAGGTAATAAACTATCATTTGAAGCCTCCCCCGGGGACAGCAGCGACAGCTCTGACACCGCGCTGCTCGAAGCGTACCAACAGACAGCGCCATCAAAGCCTCGTTCTTTGAAGGCCATCCTGGCATTGAGGCTCATCTTTGGAACGGTGGCTCTCTTGTGCGTTCTCTTAATCGTATATACCGCAGTTACAGTTTATAGCATTGCATCCCACACTGCTGTAGACTATGGCGACTGCGGCACCAACGATTCGATCGAAGAGGCCCGCGCCAAGGGTTGCGTCTTCGATCCCGCAGGCTGGGTATGGGTCCGACCCGAATGCTATGACGCCGACATGATATCTGAATTTCTAAACCGGACCGAGTATTCATTCCACACCGAACCGAAGCTCACCCCGGAATCTCTGGTTCCCATGGATGTTGTGTTCCGGGGAGACCATCCCAAACTTTTCACTCAGAAGAAGTACCACTACACCCATTGCACTGTGAGTCAAATATGCCTTCCGATTACCGTTTCGTAGTTGACCATTTGCAAAACAGTACATGATGAAGAAAATGCACAAGGCTATTCTTCAGCACACACCAATTGACAGCTACCTCATGGAATGGTCCCATACCGACCATTGTGAAATGGTGCTGCTCAACGATTATCTGCATGAAGACGCTCAGTGCACGCCGGAAATGGTTTGCCCAACTTGGGTCCGAGCCACATGGACAGGTTGTAAGCGTTACTAGGTCTGATGCGCCATTCTAGTGGTTGTCGCAGTGTAGGTGTAGCAGCGAGTGAATCAGCCACAGTCATCCTAGAGTCCTATATAGAGCACATGAGCCGTAACCGTGCTAATCTTTCCGTTGATTTAACAAACAATGAACGGAGCTTCTCCTACCAACAAGTCGGTAGAATCAAACTGGTGACGTTGAACACCTGTCAATCGCATGTTTTACTTGATTGATCTGTCGAATAAAAAGTCTTACACTTGAATCAGACCCCGAATTCTGGTGAGTAGCTAACAAGAGATTCTGAATTGTATTGCATAAAAATTGGTTGACAACGCGGACTTCTGAAGGAGACATTTGATCACCAACCAAGCACACCAAATAGCATGCGTGATAGATGAATAAATCAGAAATAAGCTTTCTACGCATACCAGCTACCTCGTGGCTGGCTGTAACTTGGGATTCAAGGGCGGGATAGGTGTGTTCACCTGGTCAATTAAATGCACCCAATCGACGGGATTGGTGATTGTTGGCGATTGGCCGATTAGACGGCTTTCTTTTCCCTGAAAAAAACATAAAAAAATAAAAACCATTTTTGACAGAAATCGTGCTGAATGTGCAAGGAATGAAGGCTGATTTATTCCCTATACAAGCCCTCCTCTTTAGCAAGACGATTACCCCGTATTGGCATCATGTCGTGCACGTAGACTCTGTTCATGTCGATCGAAGAATAAGTGTGTGTTTCCGAAAAAGGGATGACTGAGCAACGTACGTCGATTGGCCATATATTTCTATCCCCGCACTACCGTATATTCATAATATGCACCTGCCGACCTAGTCCAAGTGCATCCTGTCTGACCCGTCAGGATTGAGCTCGATATCGATTGGTCAATGATTCCACGTAGAAATTTGATCCATCTTGCTTACATGATATTGTACCTATCGGTTAGAGTTATAAGTTCTGAGGTCATTCCTCTTTCCTCAGCTACCAGTGGTCAACCCAGCCAGCGATCACCTCGCCCCCCCCCCCCCCCCCCCCCCCCTTCTCTTAGAGAAAACTGTCCCAAACATGGACCACTTCGACGTCCAGCCCCAAGACACAATCAAGTATCGTGGCAACTGCCACTGCGGCGCATATCGCTACGAGCTCACCACGCCGTTGATCAAGGAGGTTTTATCTTGTGACTGTACGCTTTGTCGCAAGAAGGGACCTTATTGGATCCAACCGGCTCCCGGTAGCTTCAGGGTAACCCGTGACGATGGCCGTCTAATAAAGTATTATTCCGCTGTGGCCTATGATATGGTATTGTCTACTGAGTTATTGTTTTCCACCCTAGTCACGTATGACTGACTAGTATTTCCTTCTATTAGTTCTGTGGCGAGTGCGCTTCTGTAGTTATCGGCGAGCATCAATTTGGCCCGTTGGCCGGGAAGTTGACTATTAACGCACGAACTCTTCTAGATGTGAACCCTTTTGAGTTTGAGTAAGAGTTTCATATTCTGACTCTGCTGACTAACCCTGCCGCGTAATATTTAAGGTGCTAATGTGTCCTATGTATAGTGTTACACGGATTCATGTCGACGACAAGCGAGAACTGCCACCTCTTCCTCCACCACCTCCTGGAAGTCGTTCTGCTCAATATACTGGCTCCTGTCACTGTGGAAAGGTTAGAACAGAGTTGCTCAGTTCCTTGACTGATCCTCTTGGAGAGGATAATTGCAGTGGCTGTATTAGAGTAAGTGCCTCTTAAAGGGAGCCTTCCGTCGTAAAGGTTTATTATATTAAAAGACCAATTACAGATCGCACAGATAGCTACTTATTCCACTCAAGACCAGGTTCGATATCACGGCAAAGAAAATACTCGTGAGTATATGAGAGGCCTTAAATGGGACTCTAGCGCTTTCTGCGGAACGTGCGGAGTAAGTATGTTCAAGAATATTTATGGTCCACCTGAAGGGGAGCGTTACTTTGATAAAGTCCCTTCCGAGAGACGCGAGTATGTCCTAGAGGTCTACCGTAAGAATATGAACATGGCATTGCTACAAGTGAGGTCTCTTGACGGGGTGGACCTCGACGCCCTTCATATTACCCGGCGTAATGTTGGCACCGAGGGATACGAGCTTGATCCGTAGCTGGCAGCCCACCGTGTTTACTCTCAAAACCAATCTGAAAACGAGTACTAGAATGGAAAACAATGTTCAAGTCGAGATATAGGAAGTGAGAAGCGTTATTGAATGTTTCGATTTAAGCATGTACCAATTCGAGGTAGCCTCTATTTAACGCCAGTGGTAGTCACAAACTAGGTACCCTTGAATCCCGATTTACGCCGGTGACGTGTCTTGAAATCATTCCTGGGTGTGACAGAGGATGCCGCGTAGGACGGATTCGGTAGTACGTATGACACCACTGCTACAGCTATCTCTAACCTCTGCAATCGGAGTATTGGTTCAATGATGAGGTGGGTCGACAACCGGGAAGTTGGACATTGTCCATAGCGGCAAGCTGATCCACACAGCTGCTTGAAAATTGCATGGGCTTAGAGGAGTATGGCACACAAACAGATTGGCAATCCAGCGCATAAAGCACGCATGCTCTCTCATCGAATCTTGGTCTTTATGACCTACAAAACAGATGACTCTACGGAGGAGGGGCTTCCAATATCCAGTGAGTACTACCTTACTCGGTGTCATGGTCCTATAGGTATCCTAGCGCTTCTTACTACATGTGATATTAGACACGGGGAGTTAGCTATGCAAGAATGGACCGTGGTGGTCTCCACCAATGCCAGAATACAACATGGAATCCATGATGCGTACTTTTGCTACCTTGACCTCGAGCCCTCTGCGAGTTAAGTGGACACATCAAGGATCTACTGATTATGACCCGGAGTTGGATGTACAACAGAGGCACAATCAGCCCCTGTCATAAGAGTCGCGGCCGGACCCCCGCGGGGCCTCAACGCGTTGAGAGGTGCCTTTTGTCAAAGTTAATGGAGATCACACAGCATATATCAAAATCATAGTTTACGCTACATTGTGTAAAGGAGCTCGAACTTCAATCGCACAGC